GACACTCTAGCGATGTTAGCATTAAGGATCCGTAGAGTAAGTAGCAGTAAGAAGTTTATGTATACTTAACTGAAATAAATTATGTTCAAATGAAAAATGAACAGTTGAATCAGTCTTAGTCGGGAAGCACGGGAGATCACTTCGCCCACTGCCTCATTGCCTTTGATAATGTCCACCGCAGTTGTGGACAAAACGTCAGGAAGAAATTCCCATAGACCACGTCTTCAAATCCCGGAAAACATTCCTAAATGTGATTTAACCGGCCGTGAAAGCCTTAATAGTCTGATATTTAAAAAGGTTCATTATTGTTAATTGTTGTTTTATTTCTCCAATATTGTTAGTTGCAGTTCTTTTCGGTTTCTGTTAGCTTTTTGATATTCATGTGAGGGTTGTGATGGACATTTTTCGCTAATGGTTTTTCAAGACCTCGACATTTAGTATACAAAAATCTCTTTATTGTCAGTTGAACTATTCTACATATAACATGGGGGACTTATCAGTTCATCAGTTATCAGTATCTTGGACCATCGGGTGCGTCCATATGGGAATTAGGGAAAGCTCGCGGGCTCTGCACATTAGCAGATTCCGAGGGTAGTGGGGAAATAAATCAATAATCAAAAATCAAAAAGACGACGAAAACGGCAAGGAAAATGAACTATGAAGTTCACTACGTGGAATGTACAGGGTTTTAGACTTAAAACGGATAGTATTGCATCAGAAAGTCAGAAATGGAACATCGATTTGATAGCACTGACCGAAACCAAGAAAAAAGGAAGTGCACTGAAAATGTCGGAGAATACATTCACTTTTTTACTGGGGTGCCAAAAGAAGGGAGAGCAGCTAGAGGGGTATCGATACTAATAAGGAAAGACTGGAAGAGCAAAATTAACAATTGGGAAGCAGTATACGAAAATATTCTGACGGTCAACTTGAAAGTACATGGATATAACATCATCAATCTAGCGGCCTACACACTATCAGAGGACGAAAGAGTCGGCATTAAGCAGGAAATCGTTGAAAAGCTGGATGAAACCCTAGAAGATGTTGGAAAGAATATATAAATTATAATGCTGGGTGACTTCTATGGAAGAACGGGAAGTACAAACAATGGCCCAGTTGTGGGACCCTCTGGAGAAGAAATAACCCATGATAATGGCGAAATGCTCATACATCTCTGCGAAACACACAATCTTAGAATAAACAAGAGATTCTTCAAACACAAAAACATCCACCGCTACACATGAACACAGAATACCCGTAACTTAAAAACCATCATTGACTATGTAATTAGCAAACAAGAAACAAACATAGAAATAAATGGCGTGAGAGTTCCAAGAGGAATAACTTGCGGGTCAGATCATTTTATAGTGAAAGTCAAAATAAGGATGCAAACAGGAAAATGAACAAGAGCAAAGTTGAACCAAAGAGCAATGCAATACGCGTGGACACAGCAGATACAACCAAATACAATTTTAACAGTTTTAGCTATGAAAGCACTTCTATTTCAGAGACGACTCAACAGCAAACTATTGAACCCTGAAGAGTGTACTTTTAACAAACTATATGAGAACGTTATAAGGAGTCCAATAGAAGCTACCCAAGAATCTATAGGAACAAAGAAATACAATGACAACAAGAAATACTGGTGGAACGAGGAAATAGAGTTATTAGTCCAAGAGACGAAGCAAAAATATTTGAAATGGCTACAACAAAAAGGGAACAAGACCTTGATTCTTATAAAAACGCAAAAAGGCAATTAAAGGCGTGCATCACTATACCTAAGAATGAATAATGGGATAAGAAATGTGAAAAAATTAACAACTACATAGGAAGAAGGAAATGCTCAGAGGTATGGAGATGTATATCAAATGTCAAAAACCCAGGAAAGGACAGAGCTGATATCCAGGTAATCAAACCGGAGCAGTGGCTAGAACACTACAAAGGTCTACTACAAGAAACTAGACAGGAATATATAATAGATTCCCCAGGACATATTACAGTACATGGAGAAGAAATTGAGATATCGGAAAAAACAGTAAAGGAGACGGTTAAGAATCTTAAGTCAGGCCAAGCCAGTGGCTCAGAAGGGATATACTCCGAAATGCTTAAATTTGGAACTGAAAAACTCTTTAGAAGTATCACGACAATTATCAGTAAATGCCTAAATGGTCATCCTGTTCCACAAGACTGGAAAACGGCTTTTATATCATCCATCCATAAAAACGGAAATAAGATCAGGAAGATCATGTACGGACAACGTATTCTGCCTAAAGCAGGTCGTAGAAAAGAGATCTGCTAGACATTTGGAAACCCACCTCAGATTTGTGTACCTACGAAAAGCATATAATCCCAGTATCCAGACTGTGGAAGGTATTAGAACGAACCAATATTAATCACAATCTTATAAAAGCTCCTGAAGAATTAAATAAAGACTCAAAATCAAGGATCCGGACAGGCAAAGAACTCACAGACATATTCATAGTAAATAAAGGACTAAGTCAAAGATTATATTTCTCTCCTACATTCTTTAAAGTATACGTAGCGGTGGCACTAAGAAATTGGAAGAGGAAGATCAATGGTATGGGGGTTGAGATAGATGACAGGTGCCTATTCGCTCTTCAGTTTGCAGATGATCAGTTCACAGTGGCCAGTGACAGAAAGGACATGCAATACATGGTTAGAAAACTGATGTATGAGTACCAAGAATGAGGCCTGACTGTCAATATGAATAAAACAAAATATCTATGTATCCAGGACGGAAACGTGGAAGTGGACAATAGTCAGGAAGTTCTGCTATGTCAGGAATGTGAGTATCTAGGTATCACATTCGACAACACTGGGACAGATGTGAAAGAAATAGAAAAACGATTAGTTAAAGCTAAAAAACAAATCGGATACCTAAATGGAATTTTATGGAGCAAGGAAATAACAACGAAGAGGAAGTTTAATATATACGAGAGAATGGTGAAGAGCAGTATTTTGTATGAAGCAGAAACTTGGAGGGTTACAGACAGACAAAAGAAGAAAGTAGATGCAGTTGAAATGCATGCCATTATAAGATACATGCCAATCTCACGAAGAGACAGAATAAGGAACGACCATATAAAACAAGAAATGGGAATAGAAGGTACGATAGTTCAGGACATTGAAAAATGACCTGGTACGGCCACGTAGAACGAATGCCAAATAACAGGTGGCCAAGAAAAATACTGCATTGGCAACAAGTAGGAAGAAGAAAACGAGGAAGCTCAAGACTGGAATGGAGGACCAAGACTGTAATGAAAGAAAACCATACCAAAGTGCATGAGTGAAAGAAACATCTCAGCAGAAGATTGCGACAAT